GAAGGCGTAATTTGCTACCAAACGAGTACAAGAAATATTTTTTTCGTGCATGCTTTCCATAAAATACGTTTTAATCTATAAAGACAGTCAAAATCAATGATAAAAGGCATACTAATTAAGTAGTTGATTTTTACGGTACATACGTTTTGTTAGGGATCAGAACGAAGCTCGCTAAAATTCCCGCATCCTATCATGAAGGAAATAACTTCAGAATAGACTACACGATAATCAGTATCACAACCTGAGTCAAAACCGATTAACGAAAGACTATCAATCTTTCGCAGCTGTCGTCATGGTGCACGCATTCTGGCGCGTACTGTAGGGTGGGGTAAATCAAGTAATGAAACTGTTATTCTACATGAAGCTGCAGCGACTTTTGATTTGAACCCATACTAACAGATGAAATATTTCCTGATAAGGTCGCTAGTACTTCACCATCGAGCTCGGTATTAGTATTTGATTCAACTCATTGGCCATTGTATAGAACCGTTAAGTTGGTATCTTTGCATAGGCTCTCACCGATCAGTTACGGACTCATTCTTCCCGCTCTGCTTTGGGGTGCACTCCCGAACACCGGAAAACAGCTCCGAAAAAAGCAACGGTAGACTGGAATGCCCATTTCTGACTTAATAGCCGTCATCAGCCAGCCGTACCCAACCCAAGGGGCAACGACCCCCGAGGTTCAAACCCGCGACTTGTTGGCTAGAAGTTCGTCGCTTTAACCACTGCGCCACGGGTTCGTTGCTTTGCCGTTTTTCGATCGGGAATATACGGAACGGTAGATAGGTGTTCCTTGATCAGTTACAGTATTCGCTCATCCCGTCGTGCCTTGTGGCTCTCGCATGAGCGCCGTCAGCAGCCACAAAGCGGTTAATGGTATATGCGCAGTGACGCTACCGAAGAAGATAGGGGAGACTATAAGGGTCACTTCTGACGTATCAGCCGTCATCAGACAGCCGTATCCAACCCTCAGTGGTTCACCACTAGAGGCTCAATGGTTTGAGCGCTAGACTTCTCATCGAACAGACCGCAAATTTGAGCCTCGGTTGGTGCACCAACTGGAGTTGGGTATGACTAGTTGATGACGGCTAATGAGCCAGAAATGACAATTCCAGCCTCTCCCAATAATACCGTTCTGCTTATAATCCTGGCCGTTGTGCGGCTGCTGGTGGAGCTTGAGAGTGAATCCCGCGACCCGTCGATTAGAAGTGCAACGTCCTAATCATTGAGGCAAAACCCAACGAGTGAGTCCTATAACCGATAGGTGAGCGCCTACGCACCAATGTGAATATCTCTCAGTCGTGGCGCTACTGTTCCCCTGCCAATCTACACTCCCGTAACAAGGAAGCAAAATCCCAAGTTAGTTTATATTTCAGGACTCGGTGGCTTTCCTTAAAAGCCCGGGCGCGCCTAGTGACAGCATTCGCAACAGAAATTGTCAAAATTTATTTCGAAGTTTAAATAGGGCTGGTTTATTTCTGCGAAGTGGCTACCAAAATCTTTCCTATATGTGCGTCTCTGAGTTGTACGGGCTTGCATACGCAGGGAATTGCGTTGCCGTGGTTTGAGTACTCCAAATTCAGTAGCACATTTGGCTTTCCGCACCATGGAAATACACCGACAGCCTCCATCAGACGCATCGACGAACTTTGCAGATAATTTTACCTCACTACATCCTGGCACTTTTGCCTTCAGGAAGCCGTAGCTTGCCCGATGGCCACACCTCAGGTGGGGGTAGCTGGAATGTGAATGTGCGTGTCTTAACCCCCAAACAGTCCCCTCATTCATCCCCTTCTTGTCCAATCTAACATGCCCAATGATTTGACAATTTGATAATCTGTACGTTATAAAATCGCTCTGACACAGAGTGAAATTGAGCAGCCGCGGGGAATGATTCAAGAGTCCTAGTAGCAGTTTGAACTGCTCGCACCTCACATACGAGAAGCCCGAAAATCATGCTAATAGATATGACGTCAAGAATACAGTCTAAACAAAAGGTATGCGAAACAATAATACTCAAGCCGAGTTCCCCAAAATCAAATAATCGCCAGCCATCATTGAGTTTCAGCGAGTATTTTACTTTTACTGGCCCCAGGCAATGCGAAATGTCTTGCGCAATGAAACCTCTATTATTACTACTAAAAGAGAAGATGAACCTACTGTTTTTGACATAACTATAGCCAGTTTGGTGTTCGTTAAATAGTGACGAAAAAGATAGGAAAGACGAAGTGGGCCTCGACGAACTCTCTGCCTTAGCCAGGTGTTGCAAGGAAGGTTTTGCCCATTCATTAGAAACTTTTCAGTCGACTAAGGCTAGAAAAAATGGTATAAACGAATGCGCATATCACGGATGGGAAAGTACCAGTTAGGACAAGGACGTGTGCTTTTGGCATATTATTTGTTTTAGAGATGGATAGTTGAGGCCAAAATGTGGATTTGCTTTCTTCGGGGGGCGTGAATTAAGGCGTATTTATATGGTCTAGTCTTTTCGCAAATGTGCTCGATATTTCTAATTGTTAACAACGACAATTCGGAAATATTAACTGAAGCCTTTCACAGTATTAAATATCCACATCAACAAAGAGCAGCTCGTCTCGGAAATTCTGTCACTCACCTGGTTGGCTCGAACTGGGATTAGCGTTCGCCATTACGGAGGCCAGATTGCTTGAAGAATGGACTTCACTGTAGCAGGGAGGTATGATTTCGTGCTTAAAATTCCTTGCCCTTCTTGGACTGCAACTTTTCGGCGCATTTGACGTAAGCCTGTCGTCAACCTCAGTCTCGACCGATTCCGCATCAGAAATGGGAGAAAATTGTGCCACGGAATAGGATGACACCGAAGGTTCCTTTTGGAGCTCTGTAGTTCCATTCTGTTTTACGACCGATTTGCCGTTCGTCAGATAAACCGTACGGGGTGAAGCGACTCCATCCGGATTGTCTTCATGTAGCAACGATCCCCGTTCTGACCCGTCCATTTTGACACTGTAGGGAAGGGGAGCAGAATGGGAAGGAAGTAACAAATCCATTTGTTGTGACCGCACTTACATGGACCAGTAATTTAACTTTACACGATCTCAATCACAGATGAACATTCAAGGATACTGGAAGAAGTTCAATGCAACGTATTGACAAAGCGTTTGAGGGATGGTGTACTTGGTGTCGTGGTCTAGTTGCACACAGTTTGGCTGCTCAAATATGCACAATTATAGAGGCAGATGGCTTCGTTCGCCTGAAAGACTGTGGTGCGTTCATTTAATTGGTGGACCAACGGGGCCTCCTATTGGTTGCAGCCGTCACATGTTAGCGCATAGTTCAAGCCGATAACGCAAGTGAATAAAAATTGGAATATAGTCGAACACCAATATCCTTGGGGGTTAGGGACCACAGCTACCGCGAATAGTAGATACTCTTCTAAAAACGCTTATAACTGCTCCTTTAATGTTCTAAATAAACCTTAAATCCTGTAACGCTTGTAAAATTTCGGAATCATATTGCAGCATCGCCCTTAACAATGGCCTGCTAACCGTTACGCACGAAATCACCAACAATAGCTACTCTTACTCTTGCTACCCATAAGTTTCTCCAGAAAATGTAGATTTTTGACAAAATTCATGAAGTGTTCAGTTTTGAGTAGACTGCGCATTTCGCCATTTACCTCTTCAGTGCGCCCAATTCCGTGAAATGGGAGAAGTGTAATGTATACATGCGGAAAACCGATGTACAGTCAAGCCTCGGATGAGGAGCAGCGCCATCTGCGAACATTTCAGGTAACGAGCAAGGCACTACCAGAAAATTTGTTTCGCTTAACGAGCTTCCGTTCAGTTAACGAGTTGTGAGTGCGTATGTGTGCCTGTGTGCACCGTTGAGTCTTGCTCCCAAAGCGTGGGGTCTCGGTCGCCCGCAGCCAATCGATGAACTGATGCAGTTTGATTTGCTATGTTTTGCAAGACGAGCGTTTCATATGACGAGCTGGGAATGGATTAAACTCGGTAACTGAGGTTCCATTGTATAAAAACTCGCCAGACTGCGGATTTGTGTATCGCCACAATGTAGACGTCTTTGGTAGGGGTATGGTAGTCGAAATGAGTGAGATAGCACAAGAAAGGTCTGGGAGGCGCGAGACAGAGAACAAATGCATAGTGCGAGACCTCTTTACTGAGAAAGCAAATTTTCTCTATTCAGCTCTCATGGTGCATAAAATTATCATATAAACATGAGTCTCAAATCACGCTATATGAAAGTGCAAGTGAACGCAAATGGTTGTACATTTGACAAGTGCGTTTACAAGGCACGAACCAGAAAATAATATCATATTACACAATACAGAAGGTTTAAGTGATCCACTATGCGGTTTAAGCGATCCAAATGAGAATTGCCAAAGATCTTGGTTTCCTTTTGAAGAGGGTGTGGAAAGCGACTGATATAACGATTACGAGGTGGTAATGTGACAGAATATGGAAATAGAAGGACGGTTAGCCTGAAAGTAAAGTTTTCTCGTGTTCGTTTTATACAATACTAGCGCGGAAGCCCGGCTTCGCCTTGGCTTCCTTACC